TGAGGCTACTGAGGTCCAGAGAGGGGGGTAACATGCCCCACAGATGCAAAGCTTTGCAAACTCCCAGGTGTCTAAAGGCCAGGCCAGAGCGCCCTCCGCTCCACCACTCTGGCCCTGCTTGCAGGTGGAGGGCGTTCCCACACCCTTAGCAGAGTGCTCTTCTGTGACCACGGGGAATTTGACCAGATTGATCCCCCACCCCCACCCCCAGCTTGCGTCTCCCTGTCAGGGGCCCCCTATCACTCAACGAGTATCTATGAAGAGCAGATTGTGTGCCTGGCACTTGATTAGCCAGCGGGGCCACGCTGGTGAGCACAGTGGCCGTGGCCTCTGCCCTCACGAAGCCTCTAGCCTAGGGAGGGAGACGGGCATTGACTAAACCATGACAGAGACAGACTGTGCATCCACGTTTGCGCCCAGGGCTGCAGGCTTCCCCAGCGAGGGGACGGGGAAGGACCCTTGGACGGAGAGCTCAACACTGAGTGGGGTTTGACTCAGTGAACGGGGAGGGAAGGGTGTCCCCGACAGAAGGAACAGCACGCGCAAAGGCTTGGTGGGCGGGAGAAGCATGCGTGTCCAGGGACCTGAAAGGAGCAGACCAGGTGGCCCCAGGGAGCCAGCGCCGGTGCTGCCAGCTGAGGCCGGGCGGCAAGGGCTGTGCCAGGATCACGTGCTGAGACTCCGATTCCAGGAAGATGGAGGAGACACACTTTTCCCTATTCCTCACCAAGAACAGCCAAAAGCCCTGGACGTTATGTACAAAACAAATGGAATAAGACTCTGGAAGGTAAAGAGAGGAAGGCAGATCAGCCAGGGACTTTAGGACCAGAGGAGTGACATAGTGGAGGTCCTGGGAGTTTTCTCTTTGCTTCATAAATCCCAGGCTTGGGGCTGAAGAAGCAGGCGACCCAGAAACACCAATGCGCACAGTTTTTAAAGCTGGGCACCATGGCTCACGCCTGTAATCCTAGCACTCTGGGAGGCCGAGGCGGGCAGATTGCTCGAGGTCAGGAATTCGAAACCAGCCTGAGCAAGAGCAAGACCCAAAGTCGGCGTGTTTCTTGGTTCGCTTCGCCGTGCTTCGGGTGTCGCTCTGCCTGGAGCACAAGGTGCGGGACACCCCCGGCCATCTCGAAAGGAGACACCGTGTGTCCATCGGGCTCCAGGAAGCAGGCGGCTGGAAGCCATCCGTGCGTTGGGGTAGGGACGCAGCAGCAGCAGCAGCAGCAGCAGCAGCACAGATCTTGGTGCTGCTGAGGGTGGGGACACTTACCCGGGAACTTGACGATCTGCCCTCTTGGGCAGACCGAGTGGTGGAAGCAGCGGGCACAGGAGTTGGTGGCTGACGTGACGCAGAACATGCCAGGCTTACATTCGCAGACGCGGGAGGAGTTCCATGCGCACGGCCTCTTCTCCACGAGTTCGGCTAGGGGACATAGAGAGGGGTCACAGAGGGGAACGGGGGACGGTAAGGGCAGGGGGCCAGGGAACCCCCAGGGACAGTCCAGCACGCTGCCGTGGCCTCTGTTGTTCCGGGCAGCTGGTGGCTCGGCTCTTGTGCTCAGCGTGTTCCTGGGATGGGGACGAGAGGGCAGGCGGGGTCCTCGACGTAGCCTCCACCTCCCGGCCCACCTCCCTGGTGCCCACTAAAATTGGATTAAAAACAAATTAATGCCCCAATTTAAAAATAGGCAAAGAAAATACAGAGATGCTTTCCAGATGTACTGGTGAACAAAAATATAAGAAAAGAAAAAAAAAAAGAAAGAAAATACAGAGGGACCTTAGATGCATATTGCTAAATGAAAGAGGCCAGTCTGAAAAGGCTGCACACTGCGATTCCAATGTCTACATGACATTCTGGAAAAGATCAAAGTATAGACAGCAAAAAGATCCATGGCTGCCAGAGGTTCGGGGGAGAGAAGAATGAACCGCTGGAGCTCAGGCGATATTTGCGGCAGTGAAAATATTCTATATGATACTGTGATGGGGGACACACGTCCTTATACGTTTGTCAAAAGCTACAGGATGTGCAACGCCAATGCTAATGTAAACTAGGATTTCAGTGACAATAATGTATCAGCATAGGTTGGCAACTGTAACAAATGTAACACACTAATGAAAGAGTTAATAGTGAAACGGGGTGGAGCATGGAGAGGGGGTATCTGGGAAATTTGTACCTTCTGTTCAATTTTTCTATAAACCTAAAACTGCTTTGAAAAGTAAAATCTATTAATTTTTTTAAATGGACAAAGGTTTTTTTTATTTTTGTTTTTTGTTTTTGAGACAGAGTTTCGCTTTGTTGCCCAGGCTAGAGTGAGTACTGTGGCGTCAGCCTAGCTCACAGCAACCTCAAACTCCTGGGCTCAAGTGATCCTCCTGCCTCAGCCTCCCGAGTAGCTGGGACTACAGGCATGCGCCACCATCCCTGGCTGATTTTTTCTATATATATTAGTTGGTCAATTAATTTCTTTCTATTTATAGTAGAGACGGGGGTCTCGCTCTCGCTCAGGCTGGTTTCAAACTCCTGACCTCGAGCAGTCCTCCCGCCTCGGCCTCCCAGAGTGCTAGGATTACAGGCGTGAGCCACCACGCCCGGCCTTAAATGGACAAAGAATTTAAGGAGACATTTATCCAAGGAAGAGACACAAATGGTTATTAAAGTGCATGAAAACATGCTCAACATCATTAGTCATCAGGGAAATGCAAATCAAAGCCACAAGGAGGCCCCACTTCATAGCCACGAGGATGGCTAGAATCAAAAAGACAGATAATCAGTTCTGGTGAGGACGGAGAGAAATTGGGATCGTCATACATTGCTAGTGGGAATGCAAACTAGTACAGCACTGTGCCAACCAATTTGGACAGCTCCTCAAAACCTAAACACGAGGCCAGGCAAGGTGGCTCACGCCTATAATCCTAGCACTCTGGGAGGCCGAGGCGGGAGGACTGCTTGAGCTCAGGAGTTCAAGACCAGCCTGAGCAAGAGCGAGACCCCATCTCTACTATAAATAGAAAGAAATTAGCCAAACAACTAAAAATAGAAAAAATTAGCTGGGCTTGGTGGCACGTGCCTGTAGTCCCAGCTACTGGGGAGGCTGAGGCAGGAGGATCGCTTGAACCCAGGAGTTTGAGGTTGCTGTGAGCTAGGCTGACGCCACTCACTCTAGCCTGAACAACAAAGTGAGACTCGGTCTCAAAAAAAAAACAAAACAAAAAAACTGGGCACCAATGAGCAGATTCTTTTTAAAGTTGCTCAAGGAGCCTGCAATCTCTTGCCAAAGGATTGTGTCCTTATCCTTAGAGTAATGGGGAGACACCAAAGCATTTTATGCGTGCATGTCATAGGGGCCAGACTTGGCTTTGCAAGGGCCACTCTGGCTTCTGCCATGGGGGAGGGATGAGAGGAGGAATTGGGGGTGCTGGGATGGGAGAGATGATTGGGGCCACGCCTACAGGACTGGGCTGGCTATGGGGGGAAAGGGAAGGGATGAGGGAGAGGGACAGGGGATTTCTTCCTTCCCTTTCCCTTTCCCTTTCCTTCTTCTCACTCTGTTGCCCGGGCTGGAGTGCCGTGGCGTCAGCGTAGCTCACAGCAACCTCAAACTCCTGGGCTCAAGAGATCCTCCTGCCTCAGCCTCCCGAGTAGCTGGGACTACAGGCATGCGCCACCATGCCCGGCTAATTTTTTATATATATTTTTAGTTGGCCAATTAATGTCTTTCTAATATTAGTAGAGATGGGGTCTCACTCTTGCTCAGGCTATTTACGAACTCCTGACCTTGAGTGATACTCCCACCTCAGCCTCCCAGAGTGCTAGGATTACAGGTGTGAGCCACCATGCTGGGCCTGAACATTACTTTTGACACTCATTTTAGGAGCCAGAGGGCCTGGGGTGGGAGGCAAAGCTTAGGCAGAGTTGTGTGTGGTGCTCACGGGGGACGGGGGTCTGCCCTCTCCTCTGCCAGATAGACTTGCTCAGAGCGCCTGCTGTCTAGACAGGGCTGTGTGCACCACTTCTGTGGCTTTTATTGTTTCCCAGACTTGACTCGGCTTTCAGGAAGTTGGCAAGGCAGGTCGTCTGTCCCGGCTCTGACTCGTGATATTATGCACGGCCGCTTACTCTGAGGTTTCTTCCTTGAATTTTCCACAGAGGGCTACTCGCTGCCCTTGGTCGGCTTCTCTCCACATGTGTGAGAACTCTCAGGATTTCATCCTCCCAGTATAGCTTCTGGGAGGGTAGGGGGTGGTTAGGGGCTGCACCAGGGCCATTGTAGCAAAGAGAAGAGAGACAGGTCTCCTGACATGGCTGCCCAGGCCCGGGAGAGGCTTTTGTCATTTCTTTTTTTTTTTGAGACAGAGTCTCACTTTGTTGCCTGGCTAGAGTGCCATGGTGTCAGCTTAACTCACAGCCACCTCAAATCCTGGGCTCAAGCGATCCTCCTGCCTCAAACAAAA